GGAATTAAATTTATAAATAAGAAAATGTACGATAAGGAAAGCTATGTAATATGATCAGGACTGTGATATGGTCTTTTGAAACTCTGATATTGGAAACTGCTACATATAATTACTAAGAAATTCGGATGGAAGAAATTCGAGGAAGTCAAATACTATGTTTATGAAGATGGATGGTACTTAATTTTAATTAATTAAGTGGTAATACGTTGTATGTATCTTTTTTCTTTTTTCTCTTTTTTCCTATTTTTTGTTTGTCTTTCAGATAATTCATATATTTACTCCAATGTTCTAAGAATCTCTGATCCTGCAGGTTTCGAATCCTTCCTGTTAATTTATCTAGTTCTATAGAACTAGATGTGATGATCTCATTTCATTGAAATCCCAGGACACCAGTTCCCAGAATTTGTTTTCTCTCTGCTCCATTACTGCTAGTTCCAATTCCTGCCACTTAGTTTTTGTATTTTCAGCTTAATTGTTTTTGAGCAGACTCTTCTATTCCTACCTACATTTGATGGATTCACTGTGAGACCATTTCAGTCTTTTTACCCTCACAGATTCGGTTGTATGTATGCATTTTATTAGAGCACACAGGGTCATTGATATTGGAATGTGGTCACTTTCTGGTCATTGTAACCCTTCAAAAGTGTTCACAAAAGTGACCATGGAATTTTATTCCAATACATGACTACGGCAGTGAGACTTTTATACACACAAAGATGGAAAGATTCATCTTTACCAACAATGGAAGAATGGTTGTTAATAATTGTTGGCTATAGCTGAGATGACCTCATGAGAAGAGAAGACTCCCTGGAAAAGACCCTGATGCTGGGAAAGATGGAGGGCACAAGGAGAAGGGGACGGCAGAGGACAAGATGGTTGGACAGTGTTCTCGAAGCCACAAACATGAGTCTGACCAAACTGCGGGAGGCAGTGGAGGACAGAAGTGCCTGCCGTGCTCTGGTCCAGGGGGTCACGAAGAGTCGGACACGACTAAACGACTAAACAACAACAACATAGCTGAGATGGCAAAATTGACATGTTTAATCAAAGACACAGTTGCTGTTTACTAAAGGTTGGAAATTTCTTATAGACTTCTTGCATGAAAAAGAAAATGAAGTAATGGTAGTTGGGTTTGAAGACTGAAGATAATGTTGAGTTATAGAAAATGGTTTTGTTAGGTGTAATACTGGAGTGGTGAATTGAATAATGTTTACAAATAGTCAATAGATGAGGAATCAGAAGTTACTGATTTTCCTTTCTTCTTTTTCCAATCATCTCTTCTTTCTCTCTTTCTCTTCATTTCTCTATTTGTGCTTTTACCTAGGTTAACTTTTTACTTTTGACAAAAAATATAATTAATAAAAAATTTGTATAGTTTTTTCTAAATTCCAATAAAATCTATTTTTTTAAAAAGTGTTCACAAAAGTGAATAATGAATGAGAGATTATAATGCAGTTAATAGCACTTCTACTGCATTTGTTCAAATAAGAATGTGGACCCTTAGCAATGTCTACAGGACTCCCATGAAGGATATATTCCTTTACAAATTCCAACAATTTCAGGCCCTGTGCATTATATTTCTTGTCCAAAGAACAAAGAGAGGTTAGGAAAATATCTTCCAAATCTAAGCTTAAAGGTAGCAAGAGACCCTCTGGCAGTTGCTTAACAGCTGGCTGACTAGAAGAGTTGTTGTTGTTGTTGTTGAGTCATGTCCGACTCTTCGTGACCCCATGGACCAGAGCACGCCAGGCACCTCTGTCCTCCACTACTTCCCGCAGTTTGGTCAAACTCATGCTGGTAACCTCGAAAACACTATCCAACCATCTCGTCCTCTGTCGCCCCCTTCTCCTTGTGCCCTCCATCTTTCCCAACATCAGGGGCTTTTCCAGGGAGTCTTCTCTTCTCATGAGGTGGCCAAAGTATTGGAGCCTCAGCTTCAGGATCTGTCCTTCCAGTGAGCACTCAGGGCTGATTTCCTTCAGAATGGAGAGGTCTGATCTTCTTGCAGTCCATGGGACTCTCAAGAGTCTTCTCTAGCACCAGAATTCAAAGGCATCAATTCTTCGGCGATCAGCCTTCTTTATGGTCCAGCTCTCACTTCCATACATCACTACTGGGAAAACCATGGCTTTAACTATACGGACCTTTGTTGGCAAGGTGACGTCTCTACTTCTCAAGATGCTGTCTAGGCCTGTCATTGCCCTTCTCCCAAGAAGAGTTATAATCCTGTAAATTGGCGGCAGGCAAACGAGCATTTTACAAACAGGGAGTCATTGAAGAAAATGCCCATTCTCTCATTGAGGAGCCACATGAAGAAGGGATTCAGAGCAGAGCCGTCTTTCCCATAGGGCTTAGTGGTGTGTCGCACCAGGGTGCCAGCCTCTCAGGGGCGCCTCAGCAAGTAGAGCAGCAGCGCGGCTTTGCTGGTGGAATCCCCTTTCCCTGCACACCCACCAGCTGCGCCCCACCAACCATAAGGCTGGTGGGCGTGCAGCTTCCCTCCCAAGCCTCTGCGGGGATCGCCCTCCTTCTGAGGAAGCTTGGGAGGGGTGCAACTTCACTCCCAAGCCTCCCGCAGCGGCATGGGGGAGAGTTGTGCCGCCCCCTGCTCCGATGGCTGGCAGTGCACAGCTACAGCCACCACAACACTACCCATGGTAATTTGGGGGCGCTGGGCAGATATTTGCACCCTGGCACCGCATCTGCTAAAGACGGCCCTGCTTCAGAGAATGATCTTAGGGTCCAGGTAGGCAGGGGTGCTTTAATTCCTCCTCACTTTCTGCCATCAAAGTTGTGTCATCTGCATATCTGAGGTTGTTGATATTTCTTCCGGCAATCTTAATTCCAGCTTGGGATTCATCCAGCCCAGCCTTTCGCATGATGTATTCTGCATATAAATTAAATAAGCTGGGAGACAAAATACAGCCTTGTCGTACTCCTTTCCCAATTTTGAACCAATCAGTTGTTCCATATCCAGTTCTAACTGTAGCTTCTTGTCCCACATAGAGATTTCTCAGGAGACAGATGAGGTGATCAGGCACTCCCATTTCTTTAAGAACTTGCCATAGTTTGCTGTGGTCGACACAGTCAAAGGCTTTTGCATAGTCAATGAAGCAGAAGTAGATGTCTTTCTGGAACTCTCTAGCTTTCTCCATAATCCAGCGCATGTTTGCAATTTGGTCTCTGGTTCCTCTGCCTCTTCTAAATCCAGCTTGCACTTCTGGAGTTCTCGATCCACATACTGCTTGAGCCTTCCTTGTAGAATTTTAAGCATAACCTTGCTAGCGTGTGAAATGAGTGCAATTGTGCGGTAGTTGGAGCATTCTTTGGCACTGCCCTTCTTTGGGATTGGGATGTAGACTGATCTTCTCCTTAATGAGGGTGAAAGAGGAGAGCGCAAAATATGGTCTGAAGCTCAACATCAAAAAAACGAAGATCATGGCCACTGGTCCCATCACCTCCTGGCAAATAGAAGGGGAAGAAATGGAGGCAGTGAGAGATTTTACTTTCTTGGGCTCCATGATCACTGCAGATGGTGACAGCAGCCACGAAATTAAAAGACGCCTGCTTCTTGGGAGAAGGGCAATGACAGGCCTAGACAGCATCTTGAGAAGTAGAGACGTCACATTGCCAACAAAGTTAAAGCCATGGTCTTCCCAGTAGTGATGTATGGAAGTGAGAGCTGGACCATAAAGAAGGCTGATCGCCGAAGAATTGGTGCTTTTGAATTATGGTGCTGGAGAAGACTCTTGAGAGTCCCATGGACTGCAAGAAGATCAAACGCATCCATTCTTAAGGAAATCAGCCCTGAGTGCTCACTGGAAGGACAGATCGTGAAGCTGAGGCTCCAGTACTTTGGCCACCTCATGAGAAGAGAAGACTCCCTGGAGAAGACACTGATGCTGGGAAAGATGGAGGGCACAAGGAGAAGGGGGCGACAGAGGACGAGATGGTTGGATAGTGTTTTTGAGGTTACCAGCATGAGTTTGACCAAACTGCGGGAGGTAGTGGAGGACAGAGGTGCCTGGCGTGCTCTGGTCCATGGGGTCACGAAGAGTCGGACACGACTAAACGACTAAAGAACAACAAAGGCAGGGGTGTAGTGGGGGGGCTGGGGGGCACTACCCCTGGCACATTTTTGAGATGGAGTGCGACCAGGCACCTGGTTCCTCGTTCCCAGCAGCAGAGCGTACACTCCGCTGCTGCTAGTTGGTTCATATAGAGAGAGGCAGTGCTGGAGGTATTGTGGTCCTGAGCCATTTAAGGCTTTATAGGTCAATACCAGCACTTTGAGTTGGGCCTGGGAACCAATTAGATGTCAGTACAATTGGGCCAGCATCGGGGTTATATGCTCGAGCCATTCTGCCCTGGCGAGCGGCCACTGAGTTCTGCTCCAGCTGAAGTTTCCAAACCATCTTCAGAGGCAGTCTTACATAAAGCATTGCAGTAATCTAATTTAGGAGTTACCAGAGCATAGATGAAAGTAGACTATCCCTGTCCAGGTAAGGGTGCACCTGGGCCACCTGCAGAAGCTGATGGAAAACAGGCCACGTTGCTGAGGCCACCTGAGATCCAGGAGTACCATGGGCACAGCCAGGATTTTTTTGGAGGGGGCAGGCCTTTTGTTGTGGGGAGGGGGGCAGAACCTCAGTTTGCTATGGTTACGTCCATGAGTACCACCGCTAAGCGACATACCTGCTCCTTCAGACGGAGTGTAACGCCATCGAGGGCAGGCCAGCTCACAGCCTATCCAGATGAAACCAAACGCATCCTTGCCTTCTCTTAGCATCACCAGCAGCACACCCACCTAGCCTCTGGCTTCCCTAGACGTTGCAATAGTTTGTCCCCCCCCCCCCCCGCGCGCGTCCTGCTCTGTCTGCCCACCCACCCTCGGGGGATTCCACCAAGGACCAGGCGCTGTTCCAGCGCCATCTGGTCGACGGCGCGCGCGCTGCGCAGCCTCCAGTCCCCGGGCGGAGGAGCGGCCGCCCATCGCCGCAGCAAGTAGACCCGGTTGGAGGAGGAAGAAGGCGGGAGGCAGCGGCTGGCTGGCTGGACGGACGGACGGACCCACGAACAGGTTGGCTGTTGCTTGTCGCCGGCGCCTGCCCAGCTCAGAGACACTGCCATCGCCATGAGCGAAACAGCCGACGCCCGCGACTACGTCTCCCGCCGGGAGATCCCGCAGCTTTTTGAGGTGAGCCAGCCACTGGGATCGCCTGTGCGCTCCTTCTCTGCTGGTCTCCTTTCGGGGTAGCGTTCCCGGGGTAGCCTTGCCACCTGTTTGCCATGTGTGCGGTCGCAGCTGAAGAAGAGCGCGTCCGCCACCTCCTCCTCTGAGCATGCACAAAACGCCCCTTTGCCTCGTGGTCGGGGCAGGAGGGAGGCGGACGGGCAGCTCGCCCGGTTCTTCGCTGATTTGAACGCCAGAGCTGGGTCCCCTGGAGTCTGGCCACAAAAGGCAGACCTGTCGGGGGCCTCAACTGAGGGAGGTGTTCAGGAAGGCTTGTTTCCACACCCTGACAAATGATAGCCCCCAAATTAAGTCCGCGCTGGTGAGTTAAAAATTGCGTGGGAAGATGCCCCATAACTATGTCCAGAGCAACTATGCCTCATGTTAGCCTTCACCCCTGTTTTATAATGGGCTAATATCTGGAAAAGCAGAGTTCAAATCTTTGCTTGGCCAGCCATGAAACTTCCCGAGTCACCTTTTGCCAGACACAGCCTCTCAGCCTAACTTACCTACCCCACAGAATAGCTGTCAACTTCCCCATTTTCTTGCGAGGAATCCTATTCGGAATAAGGGAATTTCCCTTAGAGAAAGGGAAACCTTGACAGCTATGCCCCACAGGGAGGTTGTTGTGACAATAAAATGGGGAGGTTGGTAACCACGTAAACCACCCTGAGGTCCTGGGAGGGGGTGGGGGATATAATGTAATAAATAAAAAGACCCAGGAGTGATGTGTCCCAAGTATTAATATGAAGAACAAGCAAGTATCTTAGCATGTGCAAAGTGCTAACGCTCCACCATGCATTTGAGGTTACAACAGACGGCTTCTGGGTCAAGAGAACCTAGTATGAATCACCTCTGAGAAATCAGTGAGCAGCATGGAAAATTCCCTTTGGCAGAGGAGAGTGAGGGATAATGCCCCACCCCCTATGCCCTCAGGTGTTTGTTTCTTGACCACCTTTGCATGAAGAAGAAATGTGCCGGCTTGATGCCTCGACAGCTTAGCAACCTAGCTGGCATTAACCTGTATTGATTGCTAAATGAATTGACTCAATTATTGCCCTCTTGAAAGGGAGCCTGTGTGATCAAGCTGTTAAGCTGCCATTATTGTGAGACTCAGGGAGCTGTTTTTAATAAACAAGACACAAATCAACGTCCAGAGCGAAGTTGAGAGGAACTTTCTCCATATGGCTGGTTTTGCATTTGGCTCCTGGTCACAGTCAATCATTGGAGGTCCCCGCGGAGCCAGTAATTAAAGAGGAAATGTGAGGCTCCAATTCAAAACACAATTCCCAGGGGTGTAAGCACAGCTGAGGAACTTACAGAATGCTTTTCTTATACAGTGGTACCTTGGATTACATACGCTTCAGGTTACAGACTCCGCTAACTCAGAAATAGTACCTCGGGTTAAGAACTTTGCTACAGGATGAGAACAGAAATCGGGCTCCGGCAGCACGGCAGCAGCAGGAGGCCCCGTTAGCTAAAGTGGTGCTTCAGGTTAAGAACAGTTTCAGGTTAAGAATGGACCTCCAGAATGAATTAAGTACTTAACCCAAGGTACCACTGTATGTGTTGACTTGCACAAGTGCTGGTGCCCCATAAAAAAAATTCCCATAGCATTTAATAGGGAAAGACATTAGCTTTGCATGCAGGAGGTGCAAAGTTCAACCCCTAGCATCTCCAGGTAGGGCAGGGGAAAACCTTTGTCTAAAGTCCTATTGACTTCAAAGGGGCTTACTCTCAGGTATAGGACTGCAGTCTTGGTTACTGTGGCTAGCAGCCACTGACAAACCCCATTCTTCAAATGTGTCAAATCCCCTTGCGAAGCCGCAAGCCAATTCACACCCTGGGGCAACAGATTTTATAATGCAGGATTGGTGCCAACATATTGCTCTGCTTTCCTTTGGACCACCTGAGTGAAGCCAAGAGGGAGGTCTTGTCAACTGGGCAGCCTAACTCCAGACACCCTGCCCAGAGAGGCCACTTTAGCACTGCCAACACAGTGGCTTGACTTCACTTGGAGACACACTCCATTGTCTCTCAAGACAGACGGATGACGACAACAACAACAGCAACAGCAACAGCAACAACAACAATGGGGAACTTTTTAAAAATCTGAGGACCTTGTTGTCTTCTTCTGATGGGTAGAGGGCACAGGCCAGTGGTGGCAAGGGCCAGAGACAAGTGTTGGCAGAGCAAGGAATGTAAATATTACCTTAGCCTGGTAGGCTACTTTTCACAGCCTCTCACAGGCAGGGGGGCATAGGAAGGGTGCCCAAAATGGCAGCATGGGGCTTGCATCTGCCAGGCAGACTCTGTGGGCGGATCGCTGCCACGTCCCCATGTGCGGATCGCCGTGGCAGCCCCCCGAATGGATTGCCACCATGCCCCCTAAACGGATCGCTGCTGCGCACCCCCCCCCCCCGGGCAGATCACCACCATGCCCCTGTGCACAGATCACCGCCCTGCCCCCCCATGGGCAGATCGCCCCCCCTGCCACTCTGGGTGCTAGAGCAGCTAGCTACGCCCCTGCTCACAGCACCCTGCTCTGCCAGACATCCAGGCAAGCATTCAACAACACCTAAAGAGGGAGCAGTCATGAGTATGGCTGGGGAGAGGCTGTAGCATGGGGAATATCTCAAGGGTCAAACAAAAAGACTTTGGCCCCTGGACCTCAGGTCCCTCCCCCCATGCCCCTGTTATAATGGATGATATGATTATGTATCCCCCTTTCCATTGCTCTGTAGTAATTCAAGGTGTGTTTACACCATTGTAGCATCCCAACACAGTAACTGTCTCCATGGCTAAGCCCTGGATTCCGCTGTCCCAGACACACCTCTTACCAGAGCATACAAAGTGAGGGACAGGACTATTTTATTTTGAGGCAGGGGTGAGGAACCTTTTTTCTGTAGAGGACCACATTCCCACCCACCCCTGCAGGGGTAAAACAGCAAAAGGAACCATAAGTTTTTGGCTCCATTCTTGTTTCCACATTAATTAATCTGTGTCATTTAAAGAAGCTACATACATTCATATTTCAATATGGCTTGGAACATGTACTTAAATGCAACTTCCGTCATTAATTATGGGTTGCAAAATGTATTTAAATGCATGTTAAATACATTTAATGTGGGACAGTGGTTAAGGGTGTCACACTAGGACCTGGGAGAGACCAGGGTTTGAACCCCCACTTGGACATGAAGCTCAATGGGTACAGTCATGGGCAAGTCACTGCCTTTCAACCTAACCTACCTCACAGGGTTGTTGTAGAGTTTAAATGAGGAGGGGGAGCACCATGTATACCACCTTGAGCTCATTGGAGAAAACATGGAACATAAATGCAATAAAATAATAATAACAAAAAATATTTTATCATAAGCCGTAGTTTTAATTTCAAGTTGGTTCAAGACGATAAACATCAGATACAGTAGAGGCTTTGGTAATACAGCGCCCTGAGCAAGGACAAAATTTGGCACCCCCCCAAAAAAATTTTCCCCTTTCCTCCCACAATAATTTATTTTGGTACCGTTGCTTTTTTAATGGACATCCTTGGTAGGTTCCCATTAAAATAGAGGTATTACTATTATTAATAGTAGTATCACCATCATTTTGTGCCCCCTCAGCTTCACACCCTGTGCAGGAGAACCACCCACACCTCCCTAAATCCAGCGCTGATATAGGGTTATCAAGACAGCCACAGCAGAGAAAAAACACAATATGCGTGGACCTAGACTGTGCCAGTTATTTATTTATTTATATTCCAGCACATGCATTTCTAAATGTACTTTATCCTTAAAAAAACACACACAAAAAAACAGTATTGCAAAATCTGGAGAAGTGGGAAATCCAAAGGATAAGTATACTCCCATCTTCAATCTGTGAATTAGGCTGCAACCCAAATTCCATCCACGGATTTGTATGACTTTATGGAGTGGTGGAGCTACTGCCACATCTGCAGGCACATGGTGGCTGTGGCAGAAGTGGGGAAACACAGGGATTGGGTCTTGATCAGGCCCAGCACCGTCACACAACAATGGTGGGGCCAACTCAGGATCCAACAGATCCCCTTGGGGGCTTCCACTGGCCACTGCTGGGGAGAATCCTGCCTGTTTGGCATGCAGATGGGGAACTCTGTACTCACTGTGGCCTCACCCCATCAGCAGCAGCTGGTGGGAGGCCTGCTTAGCTGGCACAGCTGGGAGGGGGGACGCTACGGGTGTGCTGGATTGCCCTGTTCATTTGGAACATGTGCATTGGGTCAGTTTGTTTACAAATGTATATGCAATTGTCCACTATTCCTACCTGCACACATGTTTTGGAATCATAAATCTACAGCCTTGATTTTTATTTTATTTATTTAATTTTTTTGAATGACCAGTTGCAACTCACTTCAGTTCATTTCAAAGAATCACAACCTCCACAATTTACCGGTATCCGTTGTTGCAATGCAGAAGACATCTACCGGTAATTAAAGAGCATCGGGAAACATTGTCCTGCTCACTTTTGCCCTCTACTTGCATGTGGCCTTTGGAAGGTTGCGTGGAAGGGAACGTCAGAATGGTGCTCTCTGAGTGTGGCTCCATCCAGCTCCCATCAGCCCCAGCTACTATGGCCAGAGGTCAGGAATGGTGGGAGCTGGAGTCCTGCAGCATCTAGAGGGCACCAGGTTGGATGCCCTCATGTACACCATTCTGAGCTCATGGTGGGGCCAGAGGCACAAGTAGGTGGAGCAATGGAGGTGACCCTTATGGCAGAGCTTCCATTCCAGCTACACTAAAGTTAGAATCATAGAACTGTAGAGCTGGAAGAGACTATGAGGGTCATCTAGTCTAACCCCCTGCAATGCAGGAATCTTTTGCCCAACCCACAACCCTGAGATTGTGCGCCTCAGGCTCTGCCAACTGAGCTACCCCAGCACAGAGGTTTCTGCACACACCTCTCTCCACCCAGGAAAGCCTAGAGGCATTACCACAATTCAAGGACAATTTCCAGCCGGACAAAAGCACTTGAGGAGAGCGCCAATGAGAAGGGTGGCCTGGGGAGAGTTCTGAGAGCCACGCAGAGACCTCTGGAGGGCCACATCTGAGCTCAAAGAAGTCTCTGTCCCTGGTGCTCATGAATATCCAAACAAGCTGACAGTTTTCTGTAGAAAACTAGTTGCTCCTAGAGATAACAGACCTGAAAATAATCTATTCTCCTGTTTTCGCCCCCCCCCCGCCCCCACCGGAGTTTCCAGTTTCTATTGAGCCAAAATCTGTTGGTGTCACATTTGCAAATGATCCCCAACCCAATATCAGCAGTTTTACAGTGGGGTTTCTCCTTGGAACTCCCTTGGTTTTCAAATCTGTTGCAAAACATCCAGGGAGAATGTAATGCTCTCGCTTCCTCACCCACAGCTTCTGAGTATTATTACTGTTAATGTTTGATTTCTGACTGCTACATAAAGGTTAGCCAAACCAGACACTGATCAATGCGACAAGATTACATTTGGCACCACAGTGTTGGTGCTGAGCTTCAAAGCCCTAAACGGCCTCAGCCCAGTATACCTGAAGGAGCGTCTCCACCCCATCGCTCTGCCCCGACACGGTGGTCCTCCTCAGAGGGTCCTCTGGTGGTTCCTTCACTGTGAGAAGCAAAGTTACAGGGAACCAGACAGAGGGCCTTCTCGGTAGTGGCACCCTCCTTGTAGAACACCCTCCCACCAGATGTCAGGGAAATAAAGAACTACACAACTTTTAGAAGACATCTGAAGGCAGCCCTGTATCAGGTAGTTTTATTATGTTTTTATTTTATTATGTTTTTATATCATGGGTAGGCAGATTAAGGCCCGGGGCCGGATCCAGCCTAATCACCTTCTAAATCCAGCCCGTGGATGGTCCAGGAATCAGCGTGTTTTTGCATGAGTAGAATGTGTGCTTTTATTTAAAATGCATCTCTGGGTTATTTGTGGGGCATAGAAATTTGTTCAATTTTTTTTCAATATATAGTCTGGGCTACCCATAATGTCTGAGGGACAGTGCACCAACCCCCTGCTGAAAAAGTTTGCTGACCCTTGTGGAATCCCCTCCCCAGAGAGGTGCACCTGGTATGTGACTGCCTTTTGTGACCAGAGAGGTGCACCTGGTATTCTCGTTTGCTTCACCTGCTTGAGCCAGGTGAATGTGATGTGGGAGTGACTGGGCAGCTAATGCTACTAGCCCCTCTGCCATAACCTTCTGCTGTGACTTGGAGCTGGTGAGGTCAAAACATAGATCTGGGAAGAGCATTGAGACTTGGCCATGTACTCCCCCACCCCTTCTGAAATACGGATAATTTTAACCTGTGCTTTCCTCCCCCACTTCTGCTTCTCCACAGAGCATGTTAACGGGCCTCATGTACTACCGGCCAGAAGACCCAGTCAGTTATCTGGAGCACTGCTTGCAGAAGGTCCGGGAGTTGGGTGGACCCAAGATGGTGCAATGGGATACTTTCATCACTCAGGAACAACGGGCCATGCACAGCAATGGCAGCAGTGGGCAAGGCAAGAAAACCGTCTTCTACACAGGTTTGGATGCCCCCTCACTGAATGGCATGTTTAAGAGCTTAGGTCAGAAGTCACCAACCTCTGTGGGCACATTTGAATTTTTGATGCGTGCTGTGGGTGCCACCCTGAATTGGTGTTTCTCTCCCCTTTCTCTGGATCCTCCAACTGAAGGGGAAGGAAGAAAGTGCAAATGTGCTTTCTCTCTCTCAATCTCTCTTTGCTTCTCTAAAGCATCTAGCTAAAAGTCTGATCCAGTAGGATTTATCTGAGCCTTAAACGGTAACACAGGAAGCTGCCTTATACAGAGTTGGACCAATGGTCCATTTAGTCTGCACTGATGGGCATTGGCTCACCAGGACCTCAGAGGAGATCTTTCTCAACCCTACCTGGAAATGCCAGTGGGGACTGAACCTGGGACTTCGTATGCAAAGCGTGTGTTCTACCACTGAGTTGTGGCCCTTTTCGTATAAAGCTGGAGGAAGTGGAAAATAGCATCTCTTGCAACTTCATCCAACTTCAACAATGGCTGGGGGTAGAATTCAGAGGCTCCATGGGCACCTGGGGACGGCACCTCAAGGACACCATGGATTCCATGTTGGCAAACCCTATTTTGCAATGAAATTCTGATTTATTTTTACACTTGCAGGACTAGGCTTGGCACCATACAACCAGTACCAGCACCTACCACCCATTGAAAGCCAGTTCTCCATTGAGAGTGACTCAGATATGACAGAATTCACTGGCCTGATCCAAGAATATGATGTATTTGTCCCTGGTCAACCTCGTCCTAAGATCATATTTGTAATAGGTGAGAAGTTAACTGGGATGAGGAGGAGGAATGGTTCTTCGGTGGGAAGAGGGGCAAATGCTTGCTTGGAGACTTGGGTAGATTCTTTTATCTACTTCCACTGGTGTGCTTTTGAACTGCTACATTGGCAGAAACTGGGACAGAGTAATGGGAGTTCACCACTGTCAAGCAGATTTGAACCGCCAACCTTCTGATCGGCAAGCCCAAGAGGCTCAGTGGTTTAGACCACAGTGCCACCCGTGTCCCTAATGGACTGTACCGCCACAGGGTACAAGGAGAGGAGTGTGTATATATGTGTGTGCGTATATGGTGGGAACAGTCATTAATATGCAGATGATACCCAGCTCTACCTCTCTTTTAAATTGGAACCAGTGAGGGCAGTGAAGGTCCTGTGTGAGTGTCTGGAGGTGGTTGGAGGATGGATGGTGGCTAACAGATTGAGGTTGAATCCTGACAAGACACAAGTACTGTTCTTGGGGGACAGGGGGTGGGCTGGTGTGGAGGACTCCCTGGTCCTGAATGTAACTGTGCCTCTGAAGGACCAGGTGTGCAGCCTGAGAGTCATTTTGGACTCACAGCTGTCCATGGAGGTGCAGGTCAATTCTGTGTCCAGGGCAGCTGTCTACCAGCTCCATTTGGTACACAGGCTGAGACCCTATCTGCCTGTGGACTGTCTTGCCAGAGTGGTGCATGCTCTGGTTATCTCCCACTTGGACTACTGCCATGCGCTCTAAGTGGGGCTACCTTTGAAGGTGACTTGGAAACTGCAAATAATCCAGAATGCGGTAGCTAGACTGGTGACTGGGAGTGGCCGCCGGCACCATATAACACCGGTCTGAGAGACCTGCATTGGCTCCCAGTAAGTTTCCGAGCACAATTCAAAGTGTTGGCGCTGACCTTTAAAGCCCTAAACGGCCTTGGTCCTTTATACCTGAAGGAGTGTCTCCACTCCCACCGTTCAGCCCAAACACTCAGCTCCATCTCCGAGGGCCTTCTGGCAGTTCCCTCACTGCGAGAAGTGAGGTTACAGGGAACCAGGCAGAGGGCCTTCTCAGTAATGGCGCCTGCCCTGTGGAACGCCCTCCCATCAGATGTCAAGAAAATAAGCAACTATCCTACTTTAAAAAGACATCTGAAGGCAGCCCTGTTTAGGGAAGTTTTTAATGTTTAATGTTTAATGCTGTATTGTGTTTTTAATATTTGATTGGGATCCGCCCAGAGTGGCTTGGGAAACCCAGCCAGATGGGTGGGGTATATATTATTATTATTATTATTATTATTATTATTATTATTATTATTATTATTATTTCTCCAGAGCAGCCTTCTCCAATGTTGGATCTCCAGATGTTGTTGCACCATGTACCTCAGCCAGCATTGCTAGTCATTAGGAGTGTTGGAAGTTATAGTCCAACAACAAATAAGGACCCAGAGTTGGGGAAGTCTGTTCTAAAACTTAGACCCATTTGTGGTTATTTTGGTGCACTTGATCAATTTCTTGGCTGCCCTGGAAGACCTGCCTTGTAGGCCTGGCCGGGGGTGTGTGTGTCATTTTTTCCACCTGGCCGGGTGTGTGTGTGTCATTTTGGCCCTGACTGACTCCAGCTGCAAAAGCTGCGGTTGCTGAACAGGCTCGTGGTCTGGGTTATATGTTTTTGTTTTGTTTTTTGCTGCTGTTACTGATTTTACTTTCTGTATATTTATTTTTTAGATCTCATGTGGAAATGGTTCCATTTGGTTGTGTACTTTCTGATGTGTTTTGGTTGTTATTGTTTAGGGTTACTTTTGTTATATATGTAATTTTGTAAATTTTGTCATGTTGCAAGCTGCCTTGAGCAAGGTTCTAACTATGGAAAGGTGGCATGCAAATAAGATGCTGATGGTGTTGATGATGGAAGCCGGAGCCCAACAGCACCTGAAAAGGTTCTCTGCTTCTTGCTCTACATGCATTGTTCAGCTGTCTTTTTGGATTGCAGGGGGCCCTGGGAGCGGGAAGGGGACTCAGAGCAATAGGATTGCCTCCCATTTTGGATTCACCTGCATCTCTGTTGGTGAGATCCTGCGCAAGCAGATGATTCATCATGCCAATAGTGACCGAAAGTGGGAGCTGATTGCCAAGATCATCGCCAATGGGGAGCTGGCCCCACCGGTAAGAATGATTGGCTTTCAGAATTTTAGCAACCAAGGTTGTTTCAAGACTTTCAGAGGTGGATTCAAGTCACTGAAATGTATAGGATAAGCAGCTGACTAACAGGAAGACATACAAACTCACCGCAAGCAGATGAGGATGAATTCAGGATGAATGGTCATCACTGTATAATTGCCCCACAAATCAGAAATCAGAACTAACACTGAAGTCAAGACCAGACATAGTCTAGACTCAGTGTAAGCTTTCCACAAGCAAATTAGGATGAATCTTCTATAAGTTTTGGAAAGTGCTTTGTCCATCTGGTTGTCCATCTGTTCTTGAGATATCAATCACCAACTTGGCACGGGGATTCCTGAGCTGGGGGGCAGCAGTCTTCCTCGATGTTTAGATGCCAGCCACCATTTTGAACCAAGATGGTGGACCAAAATGTCTAAGTCCATTTTTGGCATAGGTTTGGCCATAGGCACTAAGTCCCAGGGCCCTAGGTGCCATGGCTTCCACAAAGTGTGGCGTGGCCACGTGTGCATGCTGCGGGGTTTGGGCACACTACATCATCACGCCCCCGGCGTGTGTGCGCTACATCGCCATACCCATACGCTACGTGCATGAGTGACGTTGGCACACCGGGGGTGTGATGATGTAGAGCATGCCCCCAGTGGCGATGCATGGTCCCAGGCACCTGCAGTCACAAGCTGGCACAAGTAGGCTTGACTGTCTCTAAAGATAATAATAATTAAACTTGCTTGGAAGGGTGGAAGGGAATACAGTGTCTTTCCCCTTTACCACCTCTTGTGAGAAAGAGGATTTTTGGGGGTAGAATTTATCTCCCTCCCATTGCAATTGCTGGAGCAGCAGCAGGAAAGGAAATCAGTGGATGAGGGAGAAGGAAGGGCTTTGGAGGTGAGAAGACAGATTTGCATTCTTTTCTGGCTCAGATTAAAAACTTTAGCCTGTGATGCTCAGTGTGTAATTGACTGGAACACTGGGAGTCACCGAGATTCATCTTTTCCCAGCCAGGGCTTACAGAAACTTGGCAACTCCACTGTTTTAAAAAGGTGCTCACTTTTTGTTATTTTCCTGTTCATCTTGCTTAGCCCACAAGCAAGTTGCTGAGAGCCTCAGCCTTCCCAGTGATGCCTCTCTTTGCCTTTCAGGAAACAACAATCGAGGAGCTGAAGCAACAATTTATAAAGCAGCCAGATGCGAAAGGCTTTGTGGTGGATGGCTTTCCCCGAGACATTGGCCAGGTGTTAACGTTTGAGGAGCAGGTAGGAGACAGACCAGGCAGAGTGAAAGAAACTCTGGGAAAGCCACTGCCAGTCATTGCAGAGGATACTGAGCTAGATGGGCCAAAGTGGAGGAACATAGAGGAGAAAAGGAAGAGAAGGGAAACACTGGGAACAAGGATGAAACCAGTGTCGATTTGTAGTGCTCCAGACATACCCTGGGCAGCAAAGAGGGTGAGAGGATGGCCGCCATGTTTAAAGCCTGACACTTGTCTCCCTTCTCTGGCAGATCGGCTCCCCAGATCTTGTCGTCTTCCTGGCCTGCCCCAGCCAGAAGCTCCGGCAGAGGCTAGAGAAGCGTGCCCAGGAGCAGGGCCGCCTAGACGACAATCCCCATGCCATTGGGCGCAGGCTGGAGACATTCAAGCAGAATGTGCCACTGATAGTGAAGTATTACCAAGAAAAGGGAACCATTGTCCGGGTAAGGACCTTCCTGAACTGAGTTGGTTGAGATGCTCTAAGGCGTTGGGAAAGAGAATTGGCTTTCATCAGGACTGGAGACAGAGCAGGAATTAATTTCAATTAGCATTTGAAGGTGAGCTGAACTAACTCACACTTTCTGAAGCAGTACACAAACTGCAGCACAGACATCCTTCAAAATTTGCACTTTTCTGAATTTTTCAATGCACTTCCTCCAGCCAAGTAATGCATACAAAAATACATATACTAGTATAAAGCATGCATAAAATGCACATATTGATGAAAATAATGGACACAATCCACTATACAAGGGAAGATTTCTTTGCAGAAATGTTTTATTAGAGAAAATAGCATACCCAAAAAAATATTCATTACATTTGTATACTATCCTTCATCCAAAGGTCACAACATAAAAATACAAAACAAGAACACAAAATACATAATAAAATAAAAACAAGCCCAAAACATTCATTCCCCCCAAAACACATTTTAGAGGCCATGGAATTGGTCAAATGCCTGGTTATAGAGAAACATTCTTCCCTGGCACATAAAGATATGTAATGAAGGTGCTAGCCAAACTTTGCTGAGCAGAGCATTCCACAGACTGCAGAAAAGGCCCCTTCTTATGTTGCCACCCTCTGGACCTCTCATGGAGGAGGCACACAAAGAAGGGCCTCAGAAGATGATCTCAGGGTCTGGGTAGGTTCCTATGGAGAGAGGCGGTCCTTGAGGTAATTGTGGCCCTGAGCCATTTAATGCTTTATAGGTCAAAACCAGCACTTTGAATTGGGCCTGGAAACTAAGTGGCTGTGAGTGCAGTTGGGCCATGATTGGCATTATACGCCCAAAACGTCTTGTCCTGGTGGACAACTTGGCTGCTGAAGTTTCTGAACCATCTTCATATGCAGCCCTACATACAATACATTGCAGTCATCTAGCCTGGAGGTTACCAGAGCAAAGATGACAGTAGTTAGGCTATTCCTGTCCAGATGGGGGCGTAGCTGGGCCACCAGCCAAAGCTGGTGGGAGGCACTCTGCACCCTGAGGCCACCTGACAGCAAAGGATCTGGGAGTACCCATTCCTTCAGAGGCAGTGTAACCCCATCCAGAGCAGGCGATCCCCCAGCCATCCGGTCTAGGGAACCACCCATTAACAGTGTCTCAAGTCTTATCTGAATTGTGTGTCAGTCTGTTGACTCTCATCCAGTCCATTACCAATGCAAGGCAAAGGCTGATGTCTAAAAGGCGGCACTAAAAAGCTGATAAATTTTCATGGGGCCTTGTTTTTCAAAACCATTGCAAACTGATGTGAAAACAGGGAGAACTGAACTTAAGGTTGGAAAAATGGGAAACTGAGAGGAGGCTTTTTCACACGTTATGATTTGTACAGTTTAGCTATTGTTTACATAGGGATATAGACTATTAAACACTCTAGGGTAACCTGTGAACACCCACAGAGAAAGAGGGAGAGAGTAGGATGGGGGGCAGAGTGAGGAGAGGAGCAGAAACAGGCTACAGATCTAAGAAGCAGCAATTCCTACTGTGTGCAAGAAATGGATGAATGTCTGTGCTTGGAAGAGGTATTTCCTCGAGACAGCAGGGAAGGTATCTTCTTAGATCACGGACAGGCAAATCTGCAGCCCTCTAGATGTTATTGGACTCCCATCCACCCCTGCCACCATGGCCAATAGACAGGGATGATGGGAGATGTAGTCCAACTCCATTGGTGGGCAGCCTCTGCGATCAAGGGTGGCATCACACATTTATGACCTGGCAGAAGCAGCTGGCCTAGACATATTGTATTTTTCCAGCTATAAGACACCCCCATGTATAAGACGCCCCCTGTTTTGGGGGACTCAGATTTAGGAAAAGGAGGGGATGTATCTGTGCATAAAACGCTCCCTAATTTTTGACATTATTTTAAAGGAAAAAAACCTAGTCTTATACATGGAAAAATATGGTATCTTTGGCCTGATCCCTTAAGGCACACCTTGCTTCATCATGATGGGGGCCTCTCAAAATGAACACAGCAGGCCCTGCGCTCCTCCTTTGTAACCAGCCTGAGAAAGATTTAACAGCACCTCCCTCCCCCTGCTTTCTCTTTCCAGTTTGCTGCAGACAGAGAGGAGGAGGAGATTTTTGAAGACATTGGCTCCTATGTTCAGCAGCGGCTGCACCTGGAAAGGATGGAGTTTCCAGGTGAGAGCAGGGGGGCACCTGTTTGCATCAGGGTGGGGGTCTGAAAGGTAAGGAGCACAGCACTCTGCAAAAAAAAAAGCTCGAGTCAAGCCTGTGATTGCATGGTTGCCTTAGGGGGCAGAGCTTCCTTCTATTCAGGGCTCCCCCCCCCCCGATACTCCCAGGTGGGAGAGGTGCTTTGAAGAGGAGCCAGGACTAGAACTGGCAAACCTTGGCTCTCTGTGTACCTGTTGTGTCTGGGGAGCAATTATTATGGTGGCTTGGAGCCTCATCCCAGACAGTGAGGTATAACTCAGAGTCTGGAGTCACACACTCACCCTGGCTGGTCATTAGTTGCCCAGGACTGGGAGGATTGAAAAGACTCCCAGTTTGGGACTTGGTGAATCTGGTGGTTGCTCAGCTTGGATCTGGACCTGGACGCCACCTGTCTATGCCTCAGTCCTGGCAGCAGGAGCCCACAATTCTACAAAATGTTCTGCTGGCAAGGAAGGCAACAACCGTAAACCTGTGGCTACCATTTGGAAAGCTGAATTTTCAATGGGAGAGTTAAGTGCACAAACCCAAGTGCCAGGAGAGGAAATAACAAAACTGAAGTGAAAGGGGACCATTAGCCAAAATGCACCTTTGCTGCTCATATGTCTGCTCCATTCATTGATGAAGGCATAGGGAGTGACGGGGAGGCAGGAAGAGACAGGCCTAATTTTTTATATCGGAAGAGGGGTGGAAAAACCTCCCTTCCAGTATCAGAACGAAACTGAGCGCAAAGGAATAAAACAGGGGAGGTAGGTGAAAGTGCCGGGGCAATAGAGAAAAGTGATAGGAGAAAGAGTTACACCTTAAGAGCTCGCTGGATGAGGCCAGTGACCCATCTAGCCCAACATCCTCTTCTCACAGTGGCCAAGCAGATGCCTCAATGGGAAGCCTGCAAACAGGATCCGGCCACAAGAGCAAGTCTCCCCTCTTGCTGCTTCCAGCAGTTGGCGTTTGGGAGCATTGCTGCCTCCACCTGTAATAATAATAATAATAATAATAATAATAATAATAATAATAATAATTTTTCTTTATACCCCGCCCTCGCCAGCCAAGGCCAGGCTCAGGGCGGCTAACAAGTAATAATAAAAACAAGTTGAATGAAAACAACTTAAAAAGAAGATTAAAACACAACATTAAAATATTGAAACATTAAAATATTAAAATGCAGCCTCATCACAGGAGGAGAAAGGAAAAAGGAAAAAGAAAGAGAGGGAGGGGAGGGGAGGGAGGGAGGGAAGGAAGGAATCAAACTGGCTCCAAGCCAAAGGCCAGGCGGAACAACTCTGCCTTATAGGCCCTGCGGGAAGAAATCAGATCCTGCAGGGCCCTGGTCTCATGAGGCAGAGCGTTCCACCAGGCCGGAGCCAGCGTTGAAAAGGCCCTGGCTCTGGTTGAAGCTAATCTGACTTCCTTAGGGCCTGGGACCTCTAGGGTGTTGCTATTTATGGACCTTGAGGCTCTCTGTGGGGTGGTCCCGTAGATACGAGGGTCCTAGGCCGTGAAGGGGCAGGGGCAGAGCTGTGGCCTTCAGCTGTAGCCTTCAACAGCCTCCCCTCCATGCACATAGGCAGGGCAGTCATGCCCATGAAATTAACAGAAAGATGCCTCTCATCACCTCTAGTTTGTCCCTGAGTTCTGGTGTGGGTGGGGGGACAACACCATCAGAGAACCTGCAGGAGGGTGGGAGATGAGAGGAGATTGACCGTAACTCATAATCTCATCCCGACAATAACCCTGTGAGGTATGTTAGGCTGAGAGGCAGTGACTGGTCCAAGTTCACCCAATGAGCTTCATGACCAAGTGAGGGATTTGAACCCTGGTCTCCCAGGTCCTGGGATGCGGGTGGCGCTGTGGGTTAAACCACAGAGCCTAGGACTTGCCAATCAGAAGGTCGGTGGTTCGAATCCCCGTGACGGGGTGAGCTCCCATTGCTCGGTCCCAGCTCTGGCCAACCTAGCAGTTCAAAAGCATGTCAAAGTGCAAGTAGATAAATAGGTACCACTATGGCGGGAAGGTAAATGGCGTTTCCGTGCGCTGCTCTGGTTCGCCAGAAGCGGCTTAGTCATGCTGGCCACATGACCCGGAAACTGTACACCGGCTCCCTCGGCCATTAAAGCGAGATGAGCGCCGCCACCCTAGAGTGGGCCACGACTGGACCTAATGGTCAGGGGTCCCTTTTACCTCCCAGGTCCTCGGCTGATACCACACTTGTACATGGGCATAGCCAGTATTTTTTTTGGGGGGGCAGAACCTCAGATTTGTACTGATTTGTATTGATTGGGGGGGACAACCACCCACCCCCTTGGCTACTGCTAATGCACTTGTAGACTGAGAATGAGTTGATTTGCAGTGAGTAGGGAGTCTACTATAAATGTTTGCCTAATTTTACTCCAGCTGCAGAGTTTAGATATTTTCCTGGTCCTAAACACAGTGTCCACTCTGGATGCCCGTTGCTGGGAATGGCAGGGGGTGGCGCTGATGTGCTCCTGTGCCCTGCTTGCGGTCTTCCCCAGAGGAATTGGGTTGGCCATTTGGAATCAGGATGATGAACCAACAGAACCGTTGGCCTGATCCAACAGGGCTCTTCTCATGTGAAGCTTCAGGTTGCCTGGGGACAATGGTGGACAAATTTCAAGGACTAGCTCTACAAAGCCCCATGTAGCTTTCTGCTTTCCAGTATCCCAAAACGATGGCAGCTGAGACCGAGACTTGCTTTTACCACCTGAGAGGATTCTGTCAGCACCCTGGTGTGTTGTGTTACTCCCCCTGCCACCCTCCACCACATGGAACCTTCCGGGCATCTTTTGTTTCCCGTTTTCTGTCTCTTGATTCAGAGTCTCCGCTGCTGGCGTCGTTGGACAATCTGTTTAGCCCCAGCCAAGACTCTCCGAAGGAAGAACAGAACTGGGGGCAGGTAAGGTTGCAGCAGTGGCATGTCATAGGCCTGGGCTCTTGGCAGAAAGCCTCCCAACTTGCTTCCAGAGCTGAGGCTGGATTGGAGCCCCACTTCCTCTTTTCTGGGTCAAAAACAGGAACGGGAAGGGGTGGGAAGCGGGACTTCACAACGGGAAAACAGCAGAGTCAGATGCCCAGGAGGTCAAAAACTGGCATTGGTCAACTACTGGCTGACAGTTAACCCCTGTCCATTAAGCAGAAAGTAAAATACTGGATGCAACCGGAGGCTGCTTTTATTTTATTTTGCTCGGTTTGCTTGCTTGCAGGATTTATATACCACTTTTCAGGTGGACCTCGACAAAGTGGTTTACATAAGATTACTCTTATTTTTGGGAGGTGGGGGATGAGTTTCAAAAGAATGGGAAAGGCAACATGCTTGTTTAGAAAAAGCTGTTACTGCTGCTTCTCCCCTCAGGGCAAGATGGTCCTTCAAATGCCCCTGTGGAGCAGGGAGGGGAGTTGTATCCAGTGTTAGTCCTACTCAGAGTAGACCCATTTAATTTGCCTAAGTTAGCCATTCATCCATTTTGAGCAGGGATTAACCCATTAGCCCATCTAGTTCACAGTTTTCCAGGGTTTCAGATGGGGGACGTTCCCAGTCCCACCGGGAGGTGCCAAGGATGAGGACCTTGGTGAATTGTTGCCTGGTGATTGGTGCCTTTGCCCTATTGCTTCTTGAAACATTTCCCTGATCCTTTTTGTGTGGGGACCCGATTTAATATGCTCTCCTCTTCCATAAGACCCAGCTCCTATGAACACATATGGCTGCCTACATTGTACCCATTGGTCCATTTAGCCTCATACTACCTGCTCTGATGACGCGGGTGGCGCTGTGGGTAAAAGCCTCAGCGCCTAGGGCTGCCGATCGAAAGGTCAGCGGTTCGAATCCCTGCGGCGGGGTGCGCTCCCGCTGCTCGGTCCCAGCGCCTGCCAACCTAGCAGTTCGAAAGCACCCCCAGGTGCAAGTAGATAAATAGGGACCGCTTTGTAGCGGGAAGGTAAACGGCGTTTCCGTGTGCGGCTCTGGCTCGCCAGAGCAGCGATGTCACGCTGGCCACGTGACCTGGAAGTGTCTGCGGACAGCGCTGGCCCCATCTTGAGTGAGATGGGCGCACAACCCCAGAGTCTGTCAAGACTGGCCCGTATGGGCAGGGGTACCTTTACCTTACCTTACCTGCTCTGATGGCAGCAGCTTTCTGATTTTTACCCCCAGCCTCACCTGGAAATGTCAGTATTTGAACCCCTGACCTTCACCATGCAAAGAGTAAACTCCTACCACTGAGCTACAGCCCTTCCCCTCATAATGGTTTCCATCTTTCATCATCTGACCCCTGGCAAAGGTGTATGGGGCTGATGGAAATTGATTTCAACCTCATTTGGAGGGTCCTAGTTTACAAACTGTGTGGGGCAGCTTTGGGAGACTTGTGGCCCCCTGGACTGCAGCTCCCATTGCCCCTGACCATTGGTCATGGCTGGGACCAGTAGGAGGTGGAGTCCAACAATATCTGGAAGGCCATAGGTTCGTCATCCCTGAACTAGTACTGTAAGAAGCTGCCTTTGAGGAGTTCATTTGTTCAGACAGCCTTTACCCAGACTGGCATCTTCCCAGGGTCCCAGAGACAGATCCATCTTCCTCCATCCCTTCCTACCTTCGCTACTCTGGGCTCACAACTGGGAAAAACAACAAATATTGCATGCAACGCAGGGGCTCTACCTCTGACCCATGATATGTCTAGCCCAGGACATTGTGTGCTGATCAACAGTTGCTCTCTTTGCTAGCTCCGGTGTGTGAGATTTCCAGCCCCCACTCCAAACAGGAGATGCTGGGGATTGAACCAGGGCCCTTCTGTATACAAAGCAGGTGTCCTGCTACTGGGATATGGCTCTTCTTCCTCCACCACCAACAGTGTCTTCCCAGAAGCAGCCAGGCCACGTGCCCTTCACTCCTTCATTGACATTCCTTTACTTTCCATTATGCCTCACTCCTCTTAGCCCCACCCCCTGCATCTGCATAATGTAGTTTGGAAGGGGAAATCTGTCCATTTTGGTTTCTGGGTTGGATGGGAGAACCTGTTAACTCTGGTTTCTCATTTTTCCCAATCTTAATTCCAGTTCTCCACATAAGTTTCTGTTGTTTGTTTGTTTGTTTGTTTGTTTGTTTGTTTGTTTGTTTGTTTGTTTGAAAAAGAGCTTTCCTCATTAGCATCTTGGTGCTAATTTCTCCTAAGATAAAGATTTCTGATCACAGTTTTGCAAACCATACATTTTTCATGCGCCTATTCCTAATACAATCCTTTTTTTTTTTTTGCAAGCTACTTTTCACTAAGATAAACCCATTTCTACACTCTTTTACCCAGTTATATGAAGTTTTACGCACATGACTTGGCAGTTGGAAAGCCACCTGTCAGTTACCTGACATCATAATGGCATCAGGCAACTGACAGGTGGGATGTTCCACTCACCTGTCAAAGTCAGCCCACGGAGGTCCGGACAGGTAGCAAAAAAGGCTCCCTTACCCATAACATAGTTATAAAGATTATCAATAAAACCAAACAAATCGAAGTGTAAATAAAGATCCACCATCTCCAGTGAAAAGGATCTCAGACAGCATTCTTTTTTTAAGGGGAAAAAACACCCCAAAAACCCAGATAAATATAATAACACATTAATTTGATAAAGGTCCCCCCCCATACCTTTCTTGTCATTGTGATGACATAGAAAACTCAGGGAGAGCTTCGCTTCCTTATTGGCTTCTCCCTTTCCCTCTCCTGCACCTTCTTGCGGTTTCCTTGCCACTCTTTTTGTGTGCCCCCCCCATAGCTGTCAACTTTCAGATTTGAAAATAAGGGATCAGCAGTCTCACCTGTCCCGGGGACAGTCTACGGGATATCTAACAATCCGGGATAGCAGCGGGAAACGGCGCTGGAATAAGGGAATTTCCTGCAAAAAAGGGGAAGGTTGACAGCTATGCCCCCCCCCAATGATCCCCATAGCATTTCTATGCAGCTCAGGTCTCCGGGCATCGGGTGTCCTCCGTCGCCAACCGTGTCAGGCAGCGAGAGTGCCCCCCCTTGCTCCCAGCATGCCACGCGCCTGGCAGCCGTGTATATAGAGTGGTAAAAATAGCTGGATATCCCATGCAGGGGCAGGCTGCTGGTGAGAGAGAGCCCTCGTCTTCATCGACCCCCCTTTCTTGTCCCCCTGCACCCCAGCGCTGAGAGGTACGTACGGATCTTTTGTTGGGGCAGGGCTTCTGGGGAAAGGACACACCGCCACACACACACACACACACGCAACCGCTTAATGCAGCCAGGGAGAGCACGCTGCAATTCTTGTTTTTATTGTTTTCATTCATTGGGTACCACCCGGCAGAACGAGGAAGCAGGGCAGATATTTTCATTATGTTGCTCATGGTCTCTGTCGTCGTCGTCAGGGATTCAGTAGCAGGGTACAACCCTCGGCTGGCTGCTAAGTCCCTTTTGCAGCTCAGTGACTATGTGCTTGCAGACAAGTAACAATGGAACAATGCAGTGCTGCTGTGCGCTTTTCAGAATTTGATCCCTCTGGCTGGTTTGTCAGTCGTGCGGGTTGCTGTTGTGGCGGCGCTGGTGTGTGTAATACACACACGCATGTCTTGCTTGGGTTGTGCGTCTGGGATAATCAGGAATCTCCCCTGTTAATTCGCTCAAGGTCAGTGTTCCTTCCATCTTGCGTCGCCGGGTTATCCACCCCACCCCCCACAAGTCATGCCATTAAGAGAAATCGCAGTGTGTATGCGCTCCCCGCCCCCCCCCCCCCATGGCCAGCCTCACACCTCCAGCCACAGGGAGATCCCTGTGAAAGGCACGTTCTGGTTTTTTTTACCGGAGTCTGGCTGGAAATGTTGAATCGCTTTGCTAGTTGCTAAGAAACTTCGGGGGGGGGGGAGAGTTGCAGCCAATGTTTGCAGCTTATTGAAATGCTAGGCTGAAAAGAGCCAGCAAGAGTGGGAGGAAAGAAAGTGGGGTGCTTTGCAAGCTGGGAACCGGCAGGTGAACGTGAAATTTCTGTTTATGTACCTAAAACGGGTATGTGGAGTTTTGCTGCTCAGGATGTGCAAATGCACTTGAGGTGTGCGTTTGTACAAGAAAGCTTGACTGGTTGCAATAAGCCAACAGGAGAGCAGTTGCTTTGCACACAGGAGCTCCAGAGTTTATATCCTGTCGTGAAAGGACATGGAGAAGGCTCCCTGGTCCAGGTCCTTGCAAAACAGCTGCCTCTTGGAGGATGCCAAGATGGCAGAGGCTGGTCCATTAGGCTGAACAAGGTACTTCTCCATCAACCTCAGTCTGTTGTCAGCCACCTGCTTTCTTACTTACATCCTTGTCATTATTCAGCTGAGGGGGTAGCCCTGCCTGCCGGCTTCCTCCTTCTCAGAGTTGCTCCTTGTAGAACACAGCAGGGAGAATGGGAACAAAACCAAAATTAGTTGGCTCCTCCAGCTATTGGATGTGGTACCACTTACTGTTTGTTGGCCTTATCTTCTGCCCTACCAGCCCCAGTGCACACTAGTGGCAACCAGATGCTTCTGGGCTACATCACTCATCATCTCGGAGCATAGACCATGCTGGGAACTGGTGTTATCTTGTCAGCCCCTAGGATAGGGGGTGCTGGGGTGGGCAGTCAAATAGCCTGAGCTGGTGTAGGGCAGTTCTCTGAGTCCATAATGTAGCTGAGTAGTAGAGCACCTGCTTTGCGGTTTCCATCATCTGCAGCTGAAGGACCCAGGAGCAACAGGTGGAAAACTCTGCCCACCCCAGACCTTGGAGACCTGCTGCAAGTCAGAGTGCGTAGTCAATGCTGCTTCCAGGATTAGGTGAACAAAGAGTTCGACCTTGGATATGGCAGCTGGCTATGGTTAAAGATAAGCAAATAATAGCTTGAAAGAAGAAAAGTGCTGAATTGTTTTCTGATGGTGCG